CTCCATGGCCCTTTATAGCCCCATGTCCTCCATATATCACCCTTGTCTCTTTTCTTACTATGCCAATTTACCTAATATTACCATTGACAGATATCAGAATCTGTAGGGAGATGCAGAAAAAAAGATAAGTTTGATTAAATATCTAGGTGTATTGAAGAATTTGATGTATTGTAAAAGTACTTTCATTTATTAAAAATACTACATTTACATTCCTTGAACTCAATAAAGCCTAATGAAAACAAATACTTTGTTCAAGTGAAATGAACATTGGAATTCATGGTTGCACACCAAAAATGTCCAAAATCATTTGCAGCTATGAATCAAGCAATGATATTTTATTTTATTTTATTGTCCCGTGTGCCGAGAAACAGTGAATTTTGTTATTTTGCGTGCAATACAGGCAGATCATACCGTACAAAGTGCATCAGGGTAGCAGAACAGAGTGCAGAATACAATGTTACAGCTGCAGAGAAGGTGCAGAGAGGGAGAACAACATCAATATTTTGAGTGGTCCATTCAAAAGGCGATAATAGAGGGGAAGAAGCTGTTCTTGAATCTGTTTGTACGCTTAAATTTCTTTATTCTGCCTGACAGAAGAGGATGGAAGACTTTATGTTGGTTGCTTTCCTGAGACAGCAGGAAGTATAGATGGAGTCCATGGATGGAAGGCATGAAGGATTGGACTGTGTTTATAACTCTGTAGTTTTTTGCAGTCTTGGGAAGAGCAGTTGCCATACCATGCTGTGTTGCATCTAGATAGGATGCTTTCTATGGTGCATCTATAAAAATTAGTAAGAGTCTTTGTGGACATGCCGAATTTCCTTAGCCTCCTGAGGAAGTAGAGGCATTGTTGTGCTTTCTTGACCATTGCATCGACGTGGGTGGACATCACTCGTAGGAACTTGATGCTCTTGACCATCACCACTTCAGCACCATTGAGGCAGACACGGATGTGCCCTCCGCTTCCTGAAGTTAATGACCAGCTCTTTTGTTTTGCTGCTGATGATGGAGTGATGTCGTCTCTACGTTATGCCGCTAAGCACTTAATCTCTTTCCTGTAGTCTGCCTCATCATTGTTTGAGATCCAGTGGTATCGTCAGCAAACTTGTAAATGGAATTGGGGGTGGAATGTGGCCTCACAGTCGTGAGTGTATAAGGAGTATAGTAGGGTTGAGTAGGCAACCTTGTGGGGCACAGTGTTGAGGATTATTGTGAAGGAGGTGTTGTCGCCTATTCTTACTGATTGCAGTCACTGAGCCAGGGAGTTAATAATCCAGTTATAGAGGGGGAAGCTGAGACTTAGATCTCGGAGTTCGGAGATGAGTTTGTTTGGAATTATGGCGTTGAAGGTGGAGCGGTAGTCAATAAATAGGAACCTGACGTAGGTATCCTTATTATCCAGATGATCCAGGGATGAGTGTAGGGCCATGGAGATGGTCTCTGCCGTGGACCTGTTGCAATGGTAGATGAATTGCAAAGGATCAAAGAAATCTGGTAGGCTGAAGTTGGTGTGTGCCACGCCTAACCTCTTGAAGCACTTCATAATTTAGATTTTTAGAATTTTTTAGAATCTCTACAGTGTGGAAACAGGCCTTCAGCCCAACAAGTCCACACCAATCCTCAGTGCATCCCACCCAGACCCATCCCTCATTACCCACCTAATCTACACATCCCTGAATACTACGGGCAACTTAGCATGGCCAATCCACCTAGCTTGCACATCTTTTGGACTGTGGGATGAAACTGGAGCATCCGGAGGAAACCCATGCAGACACAGGGAGATTGTGCAAACTCCACACAGGCAGTCGCCTGAGGGTGGAATTGAACCCGAGTCTCTGGCGCTGTGATGCAGCAATGCTAACCACTGAGCCACATTGTGGAGGTCAAAGCCACTGGGCAGTAATCTTTGAGGCACACTTTTATAATTTTTTTATTGGCACCAGAATGATGGCAGATGGGGACATAGTTAATGGTAAATGACAGGCCCGCACTGTAATAATGGATCATTGTGAAATCAGTTATGCAGGAACTAATTTAGTAATGGAAGGGCCAAGGATTATATCTCGGACAAAGTTGAATAGAAATCAACTTTTTTAACGCTCCAGAATTTTTTAAAAATTAAGAGTGCTGAATGTGAAATGCCTTGATAGTTTTAACAGGTCCCTTCGATAGTGTTTTGATAGCTTGACAGTTCTTTCACCAATTTGACAGTTGCACAGTTCCAATGGGTTTATGTACATTTTAGGCACATTCTTGTACACCTTTAACAACCCCAGAAAGTACCTCACCTGCTCCTCAAGGAAACCTGCCACTGTCCTCCCTCCCAAAGTTGTCTCGGGATTGTATCCAGAGGGTACCTCTCCTCTCAAGAGAGAGTGGCTATTCCAAACTAATTCACCTGGTTCACACTGGGTCTTACCTGATTTAATGTGCACACTCCAGCCTCCACACTATAAAAATGCCATAATTCCACTTTGGTGTGAGCAGGTAATGATGTATATGACCTGCTGCCTCCATAAAACATTAGTGTGTAAAATTCAGTCTGACTTCACTTTCACTCCTGTGAAAATGAAAGATTCTGTGTTTTAGGGTGGTCTTTCTGAATTTTGACCACTTTTGCCATTTTCGGTATGGAGGAGAGCTCTACGTTGTGATGAAAGTTAAGGCCTAACAGTGAAAGTCGTTCAATTCAGCATTGTATCTGTCAGATTGGGAAGGGTTGACAAGTTCCCTTCATCGGATGACATTAATGAACAAGCTTCATTTTTACAATAACCCAGAAATGTTCCCAATGATTTTTCTAGTGCTGGCTCACCCATAATGTTTTATTTATTTCGCTAACTTATTTCATTAATTTTCATTCACTCATATTTAACAGATTAGTTGTCTACACACTACCACAAAGGGCTTCCTGCCGCATCATAGTGGCAATGCTGCCTTAGTTTTTCCACTGCTGATTGAATGCGAACTATGTTACACAGTTGGCATCATGCTTCAGCATGTCCCATTTCCAATTCTATGCACTCCCCACCTGACAGCCTGTTTATTTCCATCCATAGAGATATAATGACACAGAAGGTGGCAGTTTGGCTCATAATATCCATGCTAACCTTCTGTAGAGCAAATTAGTCAGTTAGTGGTAGGTGATGCATTGATATTAATTTTCCAAAATTTGCTAGATTCTGTAAAATTTCCATCAGACTGGAAAATAGCAAACATAACTCCTCTATTCCAGAAAGGAGGGAGGCTGAAAACTGGAAACTATAGATCAGTTAGCTAGATGTCTGCCATAAGCAAATGTGTTAAAATCAATTGTTAAGGAGGTTCAGAAAGAAAGGAGGAGAACACGCTCCCATCTGCATCAACGGGACTGAGGTTGAGAGGGTGGAGAGCTTCAAGTTCCTAGGAGCCATGATAACTGACAATCTGTCCTGGACTTCCCACGTAGATGTGACGGTCAATGCCACCTCTTCCTCAGGCAGTTTAAGAAATTTGACATGTCCATAAGGACCCTAACCAATTTCTACACTTGCACAATAGAAACCCTGTCTGGGTCCATAACGGCCTGGTATGGCAACTGCTGTGCCCAGGACCATAAGAAACTACAGAAGGTAGTGTGCACGGCCCAAACCATCACAGAAACCAACCTTTCATCCATGGACTCTATTTACATGTCTCGCTGCACAGCAAGGCTACAAACATCAACAAAGACCCATCGCACCCTGGTAATGATCTCCTACAACCTCTTCTGTCAGGCTCAAGATACAGAAGTCTGAACATACCCACCAGCAGGTTCAGGAAAAGCTTCTTCCTGGCTGTTATCAGACTAATGAATGGACTCTTTAGCCTCCAATAATGCTGATCTTGCTAATGTTGGTCTTGCCTAGTACACGCCCTGTGCAATTTAACCTGTATGCCTCTGTCTAAGTCTTTTTGATCTGTACATCCTAACTTACTGATGGTAAACAAAGCTTTTCATTGTACTCTGGTACACTTGGCAATAAATTAATCAATCAATCAATCAATCAGGTTGTAGCTACACACTTAGTAAAAAAAACACAAGATAATCAGGAAGCGCCAGCATGGTCTTGTGAAAGGAAAATCATGTTTAAGCAAATTATTGGCACTCTGAAGGAAGAACGTGTGTAGATATCATTGAACCTAATATGATGTTTTGTCTATGTATGGAAATTATCGGACAAAAATACATTTTTTTCTTCATACAAGTAACCATCCAACTCTTAATTTTGCTCTATCAACATTTCATTATTACCTTCTCTCTCGCATACATGCCTAGCTTCCTGTTAAAGGCATCTTTGCCATGCACCTCAACTACTTGATGTGGTAGGAAGTTCCTTAACATAGTTGCTTTCTTGGAACGTAAGTTTCTCCTGGATTCTTTATAAATTTATTAGTAACTATTTGAGATTACCTTCAAGTGGCAGCATGTCTACCGTATCAAATTTCTTCATTTCAATGACCAATTTTAGGTTGCTTCTTAGCTTTCTCCTTTCTAAACAAAAGACCAGTCTGATAATTTCTCTCTGACACTTATCACTCATTTCTGGTACATTCAGTGTAAGTTTGAAGATTGGAACTGTGCTCAGTTTTCGAATATCAGAGAAGCTGTGGAAATGTGTTCCAGAAAGAAAGAAGGCAGCGAAAACTAGAAATACATTTGAAAAAAGAAACAGTTTATAAACAAAGCAGCAGCACCACCAGCTAAAACATACTCGATACATAGGATATAATTCTGAAAATATTTTTAAAATGAATGCCTTACAATCTTAGCAAAATGTTCGATGCTGATATGCTAGTATACTAGTATAGTATTGCATGCTTGTATAGCAGATAAAGCTGGTCTAAAATTACAATGACATCTGTCCACAAAGCATTTATTCTTCATAGCTATATTAGCCTCTTTTTATTGTTGGACACTGTTTCCTTTGTTACCGTTTCTTTAGCCATTTTTATGTCTACTTAATTTTCTTTTTATTTAGGTTTTTTGACTGAGAAGTATCAACCTGTCTTCAGACCTCTGACGAAGCATTCCTCCTCAAGGGCCCACCAGCAGGTACTCAAATGCAGTTAAGACTGAAAAATGCTATGATGTTTCTCTCTCCTTGACAAAGAATAGTTGGTACTCAATCAGTATCTTTCTTTGCACACGTGTACTGTTCAGGGCCTGTAGACCACTCCCATTAATATGTCTTTCCCCTGCTGTACCTCATCACCACCCAAACATTTTCTATATCCTGATTTCCTTAACCAAGGTCATCACATCAGTAGCCTTAGTCTTGAACTATGTGAAAATTCACACGTATAAAATTAGATAATGAATTGATTAACTTTTACTGAGAAAGTAAATTAATGACTTAAGCCGAACATCAATGTTTGTTCTTGTTAAGCAGTCGAAGTCCGGCTCCAGTGCATTAGTTGCTAGCATGGTGGAAATATAGATGAAAACCAATTTTGTAAGCTGTCAGTCTACTTGTAAGACTGAAGATATCTTCTGTTGGATGCTTGAAGAATTGCCAAAATAAATGCACTGAAATAAGGAAGTAATTACAGAATTATGTAAGTTGGCACAGTTGTCTTGCCAATGCTGACATTAATATAGCAATATTAAACTTTCAGTTTTACTAAGGAAGGTGGAATAGTAGAGCAAATTTAAAGGACTAAAGCCGGTGTTAAGTAGATTTAAGAACAGTTAACTAGTAGCTCTCTATTTGTATATTTTGTTAGTTATTGTTGCACAGTATAAAAGTGTTCTTCAAAACTACCTGGCCATTCTGTCTGCAACTGGGATTCATCCCTTATTGTAGCTATCTCTCAGCTGACTCAGCCTTCATAATAAAACCATTTAGAAAATAAACAGATGTCTGCTTCTGTTGTAGTAACCCTGAATTATGAATGCCTGGCTGAACTCAAAAAAGTTACTAATCCAGTCAACACTACAGACAGTATTTGCACAGCTTGAAAGGGAGTTCAAGATTTGTTTGATTGATACCTCTATTACCTTGTAATAAGCCGGCTTTTGCGGTTTTCAATGCATGGAGAGGGTGTTTATAGAGTCGTAGAGATGTACAGCACGGAAACAGATCCTTCGGTCCAACTCGTCCATGCCAACCAGAGATCCTAATCTAACCTAGTCCCATTTGCCAGCATTTGGCCCATATCCTCCAAACACATTTGTACAAGATTAGGTTGCTAAAGTGGATAAAAGATTTTTCAAATTGATGCCATAAATGACTGTTTACTGACAGCTTTATGATAAGTTAATAAGGGAAATAAATGCATTTCAATGGGAATAACGACTGGCACTATTTTTGGTTTCCCAACTCCTTTGAGAGGTCATGAATCACTGACTCCATCAAAATTGCAATGAGAGTGTTGAATCCCCCACAATAGACCCAGTGACTTGAAGATAGCTGTCTACCAATGCCCTCAGCCGTTTATTTTGTAGAATCCCTACAGTGTGGAAATAGGCCCTTTGGCCGAACAAGTCCACACTGACCCTCAGATCATCCCACCCAGACCCATCTAATCTACACATCCCTGGACACTTTGGGCAATTTAGCATAGCCAATCCACCTAGCCTGCACATCTTTGGACTGTGGGAGGAAACCGGAGCACCCGGAGGAAACCCACACAGACACGGGGAGAATGTGCAAACTCCACACAGACAGTTGCCCGAAGGGGAATCAAACCCGGGCCCGTGGCACTATGAGGCAGCAGTGCTAGCCACCGTCTGCCCCCTTGTTGGTGAAAGTTTCAGAATTGGGAATGGGAGTGGGAATCCTTTAATCTTGTTCTGTCTTCCGTTTTAAAGGCCTCCTGACTTGCCAAAAATCCGAGTTTCAGAAGTTAGCAATTATATGTCATCAGAAATTGCAATGAACCACTAGCTCTGAATCAGCACTCATGAAATCAAGGCCCTTACTTAATGTTGCCCTAAGCATGGTACCCATGTAGGTTCCAGCTTATGTGTTATAACTGTCAGATCTTTGATCCTAGTTTCTGTTAGTTTCTTCTTTTTTTTGTCAGATTTCCTCATTTTGTTTCCACATATTTTAGCATCTGTATGTGAAATATATGAACTCTTCAGGTGACCATATAAATTCTATAGCATGAATATTGCATTAATGAATTAAAATGAAAACTATGTATAACTTTGAAACTGACTTCCTGTAAACTCACATAGATTGTTAGAACTGATCCACCAATAAATTAGTCATACAGATAGATAACTTAATTTCAATATGGATAATCTTTAAAATGAATTTACTCTGTTTTCCAGTGTGCTGCGGTTGATCCATATACATATAGGCTGTTTGACAAATTTAATCCTGCGCTGCACACTTATTTTGAATGGAATCCTGTGCTATGTGCTGTTCAGCTAGAACTGTGTTGGAGATATCCAAGGCCACTGGGACTTGTCTGCAGATATTTTGATTTCGCCTAAGTCTTTGGAGAAACAAGTTAACTCTTTCCTATTCTGCACTTTTGCAATATCTTAAATATAGACATTTTCTAATCGGCCTGATCAGAGATGTTATTACACATCCCTGGAGCAGATGGGACTTGACCCAGACCTACTGGCTCAAAGGTAGGGAGAGTACCACTGTGCCACAAGTGTTATGCATATTAGTGCTTCTAAGTTGGAACTGCTGCTGCAGTTTTATTCTTTAAATGTACTAATCCAAACCAGTATGAATAAAAACCTGGCACTGTTAGCTTAAAAGCTTTGCAGTGGCTCTTGTTCTCTGTTGAAATTTGGATGTAACAAGAGTCACCTACCATAGCATGTAAATTGGGACAGTAGGATCTGTCCACAACCCTTTTCAACATATAGTGCCTGATATTCTAAATATTACTTCTATATGGAACTCATTTGACAACAATGAGATAACGAATGCTAATCAGTTAGTAATGTGATCTTTTCCTGTTGCAGTAAGACAACAGCTTCGGGCAAAATGCACAAATTGTGCCATTGAGAATTGTATTCATGCAGTGAAGCACCAATTGGCAGACATGTGATAAATTGTTCCTGAAGCTTCTGACTATTGGCAGTACCCCAGAAAGAAATATACTGTCAAACTGTCTGCTGTAATTTTCCATTTCTGGACCGTTTCATTAAAAAAATTATTATTTTTGTGGTCATCATTAATAATACTAATATTTTTATAGCAGTTTTACCAAAATGAATTGTCCCAAGGCTCTTGACAGGAAAGTTATAAAACAAAATATGACACTTCACCACATATCAGCACAAAACCAAAAGTTTGGTTAAAAAGTCAGGTTTAAGGAACATCTTAAAGAAGGAAAATGAAATAGACAAGCAGAAATGTGTAGGAAGGCCATTCCAGAACTTAGGACCTAGACCAATGAAGATGTGATTACAAATGGAGATTGATCAAAACAGTGTTTCTCGATCTTTTTCTCCACTGTGACCCCAATTTGAGGGTTGAAAATTGTCATGACCCCCTCACTGCTGGAGCCCTGATCCTCACTTTGCATAGACCTAATGTAAAATCAGAGATCATCAGGATGCTGGAATTAGAGAAGCGCTGATACCTCAGAGAGTTGTGGGCATGAGTAGACTACAGAGAAAACGAGGGTGAGGCTATGAAGGAACTTTGAAAAGATAGATGAGAAATTTAAAATCAAAATCTTGCTGACGAGGAGAAAATGTAGTCAGTGATCACAGGGGTGAGATAGGTGAATGAAACCCCGAGTTTAGAAACATACCGAGAATTTTGGATGACTTCAGTTTTATGGAAGGTAGAACATTGGAAGCCATCCAGTAGTGCTTTGTAACAGTCAAGTCTAGAGATAATGAGGGCAGGAATGAGAGAACAATAATGAAATGCTTCTTTTTTTAAAAATTTTCACTGTGTACTCTTCCAAATCAAGTATAAGAATTGAAGCAGTGTAAAATCCTTTAGACTTTGCCTGGGCACATACTCCAGCTTTCTCATAATTGTAACATTTCACTGTACTAGTCCCTGTAGTTTCTTATGTTGTACTTTTGTGATCAGTTTTGAGCATATTTATGCTGTAGATTTGTGCCTATAAAAACCGGGCTGCAATTAAATGTGCTGATTTAATGAAGATTTGTAATTGGCTAGAATTTCTAGCAGATATTTGTGATGAGAGGACAGTGTATAACTACTATATCACTAGTTGCCTACATCTCTGATTTTCTTTCCTCTAAGTGTTTTCCAAAATCTGGTCAAAGAAACCTGGGTTCCTGATGCAGCAGCATTTTAAATAGTGGGTGGTCTTAGCTTTCAGAGCATTGCCTCAGCTTTATCTTAAATCCCCTCTTTGTTCTTATTTCTGTGCGTGCATGGAAAGCATTTCTGATGGACAGCATTTCTGATGGACAGCGTCTGTGAAAATTTCCCTCTTGATGTCAGTCTTAAATTTCTATTCCATCACTACTTTATTTGATTTATATGAAATCAAAGCCTCTACTAGCCCTACTAAGCATCCTGACAAGTGCATAGCTGATATTCTCATCACAAATGTCTTGCAGTTTAATACAACCTCTATAGAATCTGTGTGAGAAGTACAGTGAAGAATAGCACAGAATCGCACAATTGTTTTACAGCACAGGAGAAAGCCATTCAGCCCGTTGTTTCTGCACGGGATCTTCAACGCATATTATGATTTAGTGCCTTTCACCCTTGTACCTATATTTCTCCCATACTGTTTTAATTGTTTCTAATCAAATAATCATCCAATTACCACTTCAACGTCTCAATCAGTTCTGCCTCCACCATGCTTGCAAGCAGTGCATTCCAAATCCGAATGATTTATTGCAAAAAAACTCTTCTCTCATCACATGTGCCCTATGTTTGTAAAGCACTTTAAATCTGTGGGGTCTTGTTTTCAATATTTTTATGAGTGAGAACAGCTTCTCCCTATCTACTCTATCCCGACCACATAACTTCAAAAACTTGCATCAATTTTGAGGGAATTCAGGAATTGGCCTGGTGACACTGAATATTTCTCAGTCTGGATTGTGAGTGGCTTGGAGTGGAACGTGCAGGTGCTGGTGTACCTGTA